ACCTCATAAAGCTGGGAAACGGTGTGAACATTTTGTTATTTACTGCAATTTATAAAATCCCTGCTAGCCTTTTAAAAATATTACTATCCTTTAGCACCAGGATGGGATCTGGCAGCCATATCTTTTGTGCAGATGAGGGAACTACAGGCCTTAGGTCCCCAGGAGGGAGCCAGTCTGTGTAGCTAAGGGATCTGGAGATGGAATTTTCCACCATGTGATCTTAGTTTTCTTATAGGTGTTATAAAACTGTTCATTGGCAAGGGCTCAGGACAATGAGAACTAAGCAAAAATTGAGGCTCCAGAAGAACGCATTAGGTCCCCTGTAATGTGGAAGGTGAGCATCTATTGTTTTGTTGCCAGTTCCTAAGTCATACTGTAGCGGCTTCTTGCCCTGCATTGAGTCTGCATTGGGCCTGGCTGATACGGACAGCCTTCTCATTTAATTTGTGTCTTTATTTAAGTGTTTGTCCTGGCACAAACTTCACGTTATTTTTCATCTTTTAAAAGTGCATGGGAACACGAGGTGAGTGCCAGTCACTTTGGACCTGAGGGCACTTCGGGCTTTCCTCTGGCGCTGAGCTCTTTGACAGGCCCCGTGTGGTGTCATATTTGAATAATCAGCACCTTCAAGTGCCCTGCTTTTAAGTAAGTGAGTTAATTTACAGTGTGATTAATAAACACACAAGTGGGCCAGCCGAGTGGCATGTTGGTTGAGAGTTGGCTTGGGACGCCAGCTCTTGAGTAGCAGGGCCCTGGTTCGGATCCCACATGAGGGCCAGTGACACTGCGCCCTCTACAGCTAAGATGGTGAACAACAGCTCTGCCTGGAGCTGGGCTGCCATGAATCGCCGACGACGGCATGGGCTGCAGTGGGGTTGGCCAGCAGCTGGCATGCGCTTTTGTGAGCTGCCATGTTCCGCCGTGAACGGCTGTCTAATGGCGGGCGAGCGACTGCCTCACCCAGGAAGAGCACAATGATAATACCAACATGGGCCAGTGAAGCGGCATCCTCCACAACTAAACTGAAAAACAAAAGGACAGCAATTTGTCTGTTCCCCTTCCCGGATTCCCCAGTGCTGTTCCCCTCCTCCCATTCCCCAATAAAATCTTTTTAAAAATAAAATTATAAAATAAAATAAAACAAGGGCCGGCTGAGTGGCTCAGTTGGTTAAGAGCTCGCTCAAGAGTTTGAGCTCTGAGCAACAGCGGTTCGAGTCAGCCCGAGCTGAGCAGCCG